ATTTTCCTACCACTTGACATTTACAGCACTGAACTATAACTTTATGAAGTCTTGGTCATATGAAATAACTGTTTATCGATACCTGCGATTTCCATATTCTTGTATGTCCTGCCATACGAATTTCATGTGCTACCAACGATATTGCTTTACAATATCTGAGTGGTACCAGTATTTTGATGAACAACTGTCCATTCTTCATCTGCAGATCTGTGAGGATGTCTCCACAGCCTCATCAAAACTCTGTTTTTAAAATAATAACTCTCTGAAACTCCTTCAGTTCAAGTTTCAATGTAAGCTGTCTGTGCTAACCTACTTAACTCTGAATCTGCATTCTCATCCTCAATTAATGAAGAGATGCCAAACATTTCCTTTGAATTATGCTCATTCTTAAATAGCTTCTAATTCTCTAACATCTTCTTGTGGTATTACTGTGATCTCTGGTGATGGGCTTTGTTTACCCATTGCTCTGGTCACTAAACACAATGAAAAAAATACCTCAAACCTGGTCCTGCAACTGTTTCATCTCTTTAGTTTCAACTGGAATTTCTGCGATTATAGGTGAAGCTATAATTTCCATTCCTGCTAAATCATTCCCCAAAACTGAATTAACTCCATCCACAGGTAATTTCTTATCTGCCCCAGCTACTACTAATCCAGATACAAGTCACACAATGTATGTAGGATATGCTCTTCACCTATCGCATTTACCAACATTTTGGATTTCACTGAACTCTTGAAAGGGAAAACTAAATACTTCTCCAACACAAGAGTTTGAGTACCTCCTGTATCCTTTAATATAGCTACAGGGTAGGGTGTTTCCTTTGAAGAAGGGATTATCTTCTCTTTAGATAAAAACCCTTCATATCTCTCCACCCTAGGTACTTATTCAGCATTCACGGCTACAATCTGATCTGTGGCCTTTTTCTTTTGAGTTTCCTTTTCTGATTCATGTACTCCCATATATTCCTTCACAACTTCCAACATTCTGAACAAATGTGTCTCATCTTGTTAAAATGGAAATACCTCAGCTTTTGATTTTCACTTCCACCCTCAGTGCATTCCCTTCTAATCCGTGGTGGAGTCTCGGGGCATTCCCAGCTATCCATTCTTTACCCTGGCTTCTTCTCTTTCATTCATGCTCCTATTTTTTATCACTTTCAAATTGACGAAGGTGACAGAAAAGAGGTTTAATTTTCATGGATTAGCTCATAATTGTCAGCCATTATTGCTGCCTATCTCACTGTTGCAACTCTTTGGTCCTCAATATGAGCTCTTCTTACGGAAGGCAGTGAGTTTTTAAATTCCTTAATGAAGAATTTCTCTAAGAGTTTCATATATGGTTTCAGCTTCTAATGTTCATATGCACAAATAAAAATTATTTTGTTTAACCCTTTGGAATTCAATTTAGGTTTCCCCAGACCATTCCTTTATTTCCAAATGCTTTGCCTATCTGCCTCAGATATTTGAATAATTCTAGTCTAGTTTTTTGTACAGCGTTATAATCCTGAGACATCTCCTCAAACAGTGACATGTAAATTTCCTGTGCTTTACCTGCCAACTTATGAGCAATATCCAGTTCCCTTTTGCCCAATATATTGTCTTCTCATTTTCTCAAATAACATGAAGAATGTCTTGACATTCTTTTCCTCAAATTTTAGTAGGGGCTTTGCAAACTTAAATATTTCCTTACCGGATATCGCATTATGATTCAGATTCTCCCCACGAAGGTCTGCATCAGCACTTGTCTCCTGTTACAATGTCATAATTTTAAGCATATATTTATGTTTCCTCATTTTATCTTCTCTTTATAATTCCAATTCTAGTTTTCTCATTTCTATTTCTTGTCTTTTTATTTCTATTTCCTGTCTTCTTAATTCCTTCTCCTTTTCTTTATTTTTCTCCATTCTTTCTTTGACTTTTTGAGCTCTTTGTTTGGCTTTTTCTGTCACCTCTAGTTTTCTCATTCTTTCCTCATGCTCAAGTTGGTTTAACAACAACTGAACATCACCTGATTCTGATGTTTCACTACCCAGAGTACCTGGTCTTTCTTGTATTTCCTCTAAACTTAAGTGCCATGCTAGTACCTCAATTATCTTTCCCTTCCTAGCTCTACCAGAGAATGGTACCTACAGTTTACCTGCCAAATCAATCAAGTGGACTTTGAAAGTCCCTTTAACTTTCCAGGTGACAACATTAATACCTGCAGGAAATCCTTTACTGTTTCCAGAGCCATGTCTTAAGTGCAGCATATAACATTTTCCTAAATCTGTGTTATTTATCAATACAACACACAAATCCTCATTGCCTTTGTTTTAAATCAATCCGGCTGTGAGGCTCCACACTTTATGATTATTCCCATAAAAGCAAGACTTAATTTCTGTGTGCTACCCTGGTGAGGCATAAGAGTATCCAGAGTCTGCACAGCGAGGCTCAGGACCTACATGGACACATATGAATGCTGCATTTGACAGCCCACTAGTTAACAGACTTCTTTTCCATGCAGGACAACATCATGTCAATAAAGGATTGACATACTCATCTTGAGGTGGATTCCTCCATTCTTGTTGCAATCATGGTCAGTGTGCTAGGAGTATTCCACAGTATGTAGCACCTTCTCTACTATTGCTAAACGATTATCTTTTTCATTTCACCTGGAATATACCATTTGTGTCCAGCTGAGCAGAACTCTACTGCCTCTGCCATCGTTACAGAATGATACAGTACAGAGGAGGCCCTTCAGCCCATCGCAACTACACCTACAAATGAACTACTCTAAATCTACACCAGTCCCACTTTCCAACATTTGGCTCTTAACTTTGAATGTTTTAACATTTCAAGTGCTCATCCAAGTACTTTTTAAAAGTTGTGAGGTTCCCACCTCAACTAACCCTGGTGGTGCATTCCAGCAACCCTCAACCTTTGGATGAAAATATTTTCTCAAATTTCCTTTAAACCTCTTGCCTTTCACATTAAAAGTGTGCCCCCTTGTTAATGAACCCTTCAATGAAGGGAAAGAGCTGTTTTCTATCCACTCAGTTCATGACCCGCATAATCTTATACACCTTTATCATTCCTGTCTCAGTCTTCTATGCTCCAAAGAAAACAACTCAAGTTATCCAGTCGCTCTAGAGGCTAAAACGCTCCATGCCAGGCAACATCCTGGTGAATGTCCTCTATACCCCCTCCAGTGCAATCATGTCCTCCCTATAGTGTGGTGACTAGAACTGCACATAGTACTCCAGTTGTGGCATACAGTTCCAACATAACCTCCCAATTCTTGTCCCAAATCTGTATCATGATTGAAAAAGGCAAATGTCCCGTTTGCTGTCTAACTACTCTATTAACTTGCCCTGCCACCTTCAGGGATCTGTGGCCAAGCACGCCAGGATCCTCCTGATCCTCTGAACTTCCTAGTGTCCTACCATTCACTCAGTACTCCCATCTGCTCTTGCTGACTTGTGAAATTTGAGTCACCAGGTGAAAATGCAACTGTCTGTCTTAAGTGTCCCACAATTAGCATCAATCTATCTTGGTGCACCCTCAGAATGAATCAGCCCCACTGCCATGTACAATGAATGTCGCTGCAGAGATTAAGAATATTATAATGAGTACTTGCAAACTAAGAATGAGGCAATTTATGATAATGAAAATAACTTTATTTCATTTGTTGCCTAAAATAAGTATGACTCAGTGCTGTATGACATGTTCTTTTGCTGATATTTAATTCTGCCAACAGGTAACTGTGATTGTCCTATCTCCAAAGAAATGATAAAATGCTGCTGAGCTCCATAGTCGCTTCCTGTGCAGTTCCTCTGCTATTCTGTAGATCTCTTTTTCGTACTCTGTGCTGTCTTCACCCACAGTGGCAACACTAAAATGGAATGTGTTTACTCAATGAATGCAGTGCATTTGAAAACAGTGGTGATGGGGAGCAAGAGCTGAAATTATCTAGGGAGGAGGACGAATGGTATGTAGATAAAATGGATTGTGAACAAGTGTGTGGAAAGGGAATGATGGGATCACATGAAAGATAAGCAAATGTGACACAATAGGTTTGGTAAGGTAAAGTGAGGGGGTGAAATGATAAGCATCGCAAGGTGTAAGTGAATGTACAAATGTACTCACCTTGCCTGTCCTGACTAAGTTACTAAAGTGTTTGCAGCACTGAATTCTGAAGGTGGAACAATGTTCCTTCTGCTGACTTCCTTGATCATCTCCCAGCTTTTACTTCTGTTTGGCAGCAGTAGTTCTCTACTGCTCACTGCAGAGAAGTTAAACTTTCTTTGGTTCCTTTAATTACTGGTATTGAGATTTGCATCATATGGGTCCTCATCATACTGCTGATGTACAATTGATATCAACCTGGAAATAAATTTATATTATGGTGGCTGCATTAAAAAGCCACAGACTGATGCGTTGAAATCACTTTGAGTTTTCAATGCAATTTTGAACTTTGCCTTGTCAACGCATCTCCAAATCAAAATCAGGACAAACATTTCAGGTCAATAACCATATCATTAGAACAGTTTTGATGAAAAGTGACTTGAAAGTTTAACTCTTTCTTTCTCCATTAATGTTGCCAAACTTCCTAAGCATTTCCAGTATTTTTGGTTTATAGATAAGCTTACTAAGAAGTCTTGGCATGATTGAATGGCGTTTTTTAACCCAAAGTGTAAGTTTAGTGTCCATCATATAGTGCATTAAAGTTAAGTTAAAATTGTCAGGCTCCCCCAGCTGTCACTTGTAAATGTGATTGATTTGTGATAGCCGTAAATATTACAGTGCCATTATTGGTGAGAACAACTGAACATGTTAGCATAAATCTAAACTGCTAAGGAGGCTAAATACTATAAAAACTACATACTGAATTGAATGTCCAAACCGACCATATTAGATTTACATTTGTTAGTTTTGACCATGAATAAACACTTTATCTGACTAGTGTCCAATGAGCCGAAATTTCAGTGTTGCAATGAATAAAGATTATTTATAATTCTTACTTGTATAAATATATTCCATATTCTTTCTTCTGTAAACTTTTGTTGCTTTTCTTTGAGAGAATTAAAGTGCTCACCAAGGGGTGCTCCTTCGATAAGTTCCATAACTATATACAATCGATCATCTAAAAAGAACAGTAAAATATGACAATACTTTTTTGACTAAAACACTGAATTATCTTTAACTTACCCTCTGTAAAATCAAAATGACATGTAAAATCTTCTTGTCGGGTTCTGGTGAGAAAATTGTCAAAACAAAGGAAAATGAAAGAAAATATCAATAGCCAAGGCAAATTTGAAAATGTTGATTCTTACAGTAATTATCTTAAATTTAAGACCATAACATACAGGAGCAGTATTAGGCCATTTGCCTCTAAGTCTTGACTCTCCTACAATTTTGCCTAAACTTATTGGACCATAACATAGAGGAGGAGAATTAACCCATTCAGCCTGTTGAGTTTGCTCAGCTATTCAATAATGGCTGATATGTTTCTCAACTCCATTCTCCTGGTTTCTCTTTATAACACTGACCAATCGGGAACCTATCTATCTCTCTCTTAAATACACACAATGACTTGGCCTACACAGCCCTCTGCAGCAATGAGTTCCACAGATTAACCACCCTCTGGCTGAAGAAATTCTTCCTCATCTCTGTTCTAAACTGTCGTCCCTTCACTCTGAGGCTGTGCCCTCCGGTCCTAGTCTCTCTTACCAGTGGAAACATCATCTTGACGTCCACTCTATCCAGGCCTCTCAGTATTCTGTAAGTTTCAATCAGGGACCCTACACCCTTCTAAACTCCATCGAGTACAGACTCGGAGTCCTCAACCACTCCTTATATGAGAAGCCCTTCATTCCTGGGGTCATTCATGTGAATCTGCTCTGGATCCCATCCAAGGCCAGCAAATCCTTCATTAGATACGGGGCCCAAAACTGCTCACAATATTCCAAGTGCGGTCTGACAAAAGCCTTATATGATCTCTGTACATTTCTGCTCTTGTATTCTAGTCCTCTTGAAATTAATGCTAACATTGCATTTGTCATCCTAACTACCAACTGAACCTGCATGTTAACCTTAAGACAATCCTGAACTAGGACTCCCAATTCATTTGTGTTTCAGATTTCTGAAGCTTTTTGCAATTTAGAAAATAGTCTATGCCTCTACTCTTTGTAGCAAAGTGTATAATCTCACACCTTCCCACATTCTGTTCCATCTGCCACTTCTTTGCCCACTCTGCTAGCCTAGCTAAGTCTTTCTACAGCCTCTTCACTTCCTCAACACTACTCATCCTTTCACCAATCTTTGTGACATCTGCAAACTTAGCAACCATGCCCTCAGTTCCTTCGTCCAGACTGTTCATGTATAATCTGAATAGTTGTGATCCCAACACGTATCCCTGCGGAACTCCACTAGTCACCGGCTGCCACCCATTTATCCCTATTCTCTGCCTTCTGTCAGTCAGCCAATCCTCTATCCATGCCAGTATCTCACCCATAATACCATGGGCTAGTATTTAGCAGCCTCCTATCCAGCACCTTGTTAAAGGCCTTTTGGAAATCTAAATATACCAATTCCATTGGCACTCCTTTGAGTGACTTGTTTGTTGCCTCCTCAAAAAATTCTAACAGATTTTTAGGCATGATCTCCCATTGACAAAGCCGTATTGACTCAGCCAGATTTTACCATGCACTTCTAAGTACTCTGGAATCTCACTATTTAAAATGGACTCTAAGACTGACTAAATGACCGAGGTCAGGCTCACTGGCCTATAGTTTCCTGTTTTGTATCTGTCCGCAAAAAAGACCCTGAGCCTGCCACTTCAACACACCACCCGGTTTCCTGGCCAGCATTTCTGTCTCAAGCGTGTTGCTGTGCTCCAGCAAAACTCAGCGCAAGCTGGAAGAACAGCACCGCATTTTCCACTTGGGAACTCAACAGCCTTCTGGACTCAATATCAAGTGCAACAACTTTAGGGCCTGAGCTCTCCCATGTCCTTGCCCCAATCACCACATACCAGCCTTGTTATCACATAGTCTGATATTACACACAACTCATTGTTAGCCACTAACAGTCTCCATTCATAGTATTCACCCTCTTAGCCGGATTGTTATCCACTCCTTTGCCTGTCTATCTGTTCTTCTCTCTCTTTGGGCTCTATCCCATCTATCATTTACTCCTTACCCCTTCCCCCCGACACTATCTTCTGTATATGAACTGACATTTTCCTAGCTATCATCAGTCCTGAGGAAAGGTCACTTGACCTGAAATGTTAACTCTGATATCTCTCCACAGATGCTGTCAGACCCACTGAGCTTTTCCAGCAAGTTCTGTTTTAGTTTCTGATTTACAGCATCTGCAGTTCTTTTGGTTTTTACCATGTCAAAGGATGTGGGATGTGATTGTGTGTACCATTTGCCACTAGGTGGCAATATTTCATTTTAAACTCCAAAAGTCCAAGCAACATATCTAACAGACATCAATGTCTAAAACAGGATGACTTTCTTGTGTAATCTTTGTCTTCAAATCTGATTATATTGCTGTACAGTGTTTTAAAATTTATCTTTTATGCAGATTTATTTCACTTGAAAGCCTACATTATTAGAAGAATTATACAAACATGAACTAAAATAGTAACAGTGCTGCTCATCATATAACAAATAAAGTATATTGCAAACTTACATTGTGCAGTTTACTAGGGTTACTGCCACCTTCAGTGTAAATGAAAACTCTTAGGAATAAATGTGAAAGGCAGTATGATTCATTAATTACTGCAATTCAGATGCAAACGTGCAAATTGAATTTCTGGGTTTCAGGTACATTATAATGCAACATTATCAATACATAAATAAGTGCATTCTTATTCCAGCCTTTTTGTTTTATAGGGAAAAATATACTTACTTTCTACAAAAGTCTTGTAATATTTCACTACATTTGGATGATGGAGCTGCAAAAATAATATGTTGCATTAAAGGAAATTAAAATAAACTAGCTTGTAAATTGCTCTGTGCATCTTTGTTTTGCCATTGGCTTTGTCATAAACATCAAATGCAATGTTATTCTTAATAGTAAAACTATTAAAATGCAGATATTACAAAATAATTTTATTGAAATAGATATCAACATTTTTTATGTAACCTGAGATGTACAAAAAAATTTCTGCTATTGACTTGTTTGTTTGCTTGTGTAACATTTGATCTAAGATCACCTGCCACTTAAAGAAGTTGATGGTGTTGGTTGAGGTTCAATATTGTACAAAATGACAGCTAACTCTTCAAATCGTGCCTTAGGATCTTTTATGTCAGGGATGCATCCGACCAAGTCGAAATACAAATGCAAGTATGCCTGCTAATTTGAAGCTACTTTCAGATGCTACTCATTTGTCTCTGCTTACTCATTGTTATATTTCAGGTTCAGAAGCTCCCTACAGCAATCAAGAATAAGAAGAGGAATTTTGCATTAAAATAGCAGAAACCAGCTTAGAGATTGACATTGTATAATGTTCCGAGAAGAGCATACAGGATTTCTTTTCGTTTGAGGGATATGAAACTCACAGGCAAAAAGCAGCATTTATTGCCCATCCCTAATTGCCCTTGAGAAGGTGGTGATAAGCTATTGTTATGAATGCCTGCAGTACATCTGAGGTAGATATATCCATGATGTTGTTAGGAAGAGAGATCCAGGTTTTTAAACAGTGACAATGAAGCAACAGTGATATGATTCCATGTCAGGATAGTGTGTAATTGGAGGGACACTTACGGGTGGTGATGTTCCTATACATTTGCTCCCTTGTCCTTCTGGGTGGTAGTGGTCACAGGCATGTAAGGTGCTGTCAAAGGAGGTTTGGCAAGTTGCTGCACTGCATCTTGTAGATGGTACATGTTGCTGCCACTGTATGCCCACATTGAGAAAGTGAATGTTTAAGGTAGCAGATCAAGCAGGCTGTTTTGTTCTGGAATGTTCGAGCTTCGTAAGTGTGGTCAGAGCTGCGCTCATCCAGCCAGACTCCTGATTTGTGACCCCTAAATGGTCGGCAAATTTGGGGAATCAGCAGGAAAGTTAGATGGTGCAGTATTTCTAGCTTCTGATCTGCACTGGTAGCCACAATACATATATATATGGCTGGTCCAGTTTATAGTTTCTGGTTAATGGGAACTCCCAAGATGATGATGGTTGGGAATTTAAAAATAATAATGCTGTTAAATGCCATGGGGAGTTGAGCAGATGTCCTTGTTGGAGATGTTTCAGCAGATTTTCTTGTTGCTTCCACGTGTGTAGAACAAATGTCGTTTCCTACTCATTGGATCAAGCCTGACTATCTTGCAGGTCTTGCTTCATATGCACATAGACTGTTTCAGTAGCTGGAGTATTGAAATTGATTCTGAACATTGTGCAATCATGCTTCATCTCACACTTTTAAGGGTTAAATTTAATCTGCCTCTGATTTGCCCATCTGACCAAACTGTTCATATCCTCCTACAATTTAAGATCTTCTTCCTCATTGTCAATCACCCATCCAATCTTTGTGTCATTCGCAAACTTACCTGTCACCATGCCACCCCACATGCTCACCAACATTGTTTACATATATAACAAATAATATGGCTCCTAGCACAAATCACTGTCGTATGCCACTGGACGCTGGCTTCCAGTCATACAAACATCCTTCTACCACCACTCTCTGTTGCCTGCCAATCTAAGCAAATCTTGGATCCAATTTGCCAAGTTACCCTGGATCTCATATGCTTTTACTTTCTTCATCAGTCTCCCACATGGGACCTTGTCAAAGGCCTTGCTGAAATCCGTATAAATTGCACTAACTGCACTCCCTCATCTACATTTGGTTACTTCCTCTCAAAATTTAACTAGATTTGTTAGGCATGACCTCTCTCTGTCAAAGCCATGCTGACTATTCCTGATCAAACCTTGTCTCTCTAAATAGACATCAGTTCTGTCCTTCAGAATTTTCCCTAATAGTTTCCCTTCCACTGGTGTGAGACTCATTGGTTTGTAATTCCCTGGTTTATCTTTATCACCTTCTTGAAAAGTGAAACCACATGAGATGTCCTCAAGTCCTCTGGCATCTTGCCTGTGGCCAGAGAGAAATTAAAAATTTGGGTCCGGGCCCCAGTGATTTCCTCCCTCACATCCCACAGCAGCCTAGGATATAACTCATCCAGAACTGGGCATTCATCTACTTTTAAGCCTGCCACAACCACCAACACCTCTTCACTCCCTACATGAATCTGCTCAAGAACCTCACAGGCCATCTTCCTGAATTCTATACCTACATTCTCCTTCGCCTACGTGAAGACAGATGTGAAATTAACATTTAACATTCTAAACAAATACTTTGTGTCGGTGTCTCAGGGAAGGGAGTGTCGAATTTCTAAGCCAGGTTGCTATTAAAAAGGAAGAGGTGTTGTGCATCTTCAAAAGTATTAAGGTAGATATGTCCCTGACTCCTGATGGGATCTATCCCAGAATATTGAGGGAGGAAAGAGAACAAATTACTGGAGCATTGACAGACAACTTTGTATCCTCATTGACCATAGAGGACTGGAGAATAGCCAATGTTGTCCCATTGTTTAAGAAGTGTAGCATGGATAATCCAGGAAATTACAGGCTTGTGAGCCTCATATGAATGGTAGGGAAATTATTGGAAAAGATTCTTAGGGACAAGATCCATACACATTTAGAAGCAAATGGACTTAATAGAGACATTTTGTGCAGGGAAGGTCGTGCCTCTTGATCAAGATTTTTAAGGACGTGATGAAGATGACTGATGAGGGAAAAGTGGTTGATGTGTCTACATGGACTTCAGTAAAGCCTTTGACAAGGTCCCTCACAGCAGACTGATACAAAAGGTGAAATCACATGGTATCAGGGGTGAGCTGGAAAGATGGACACAGAACCGGCTTCATCATCAGAGACAGAGGGTAGTGGTGGAAGAATGCTTTTCAGAATGAAGGGTTATGAATAGTAGTGTTCCACAGGGATCAGTGCTGGCACCTCTGCTGTTTGTGCTCTACATAAATGAGTTGGAGGAAAACATAGCTGGTCTAATTAGTAAGTTTGTAGACGATACTAAGGTTAGTGGAGTTGTGGATAGTGCGGAGGATTGTCAGAGGATACAGCAAGATATAGATCAGTTGGAGGCATGGGCTAAAAATGACAGATGGAGTTTAATCTGGACAAATGTGAGGTGATGCACTTTGGAATGTGAAGTACATGTGGAAATTATACAGTGAATGGCAGAACTTTTACGAGTATTGATATGCAGTGGGATCTGGGTGTGCAGGTCCACAGATCACTGCAAGTGGCAGCGCAGGTAAATAAGTTAGTGAAAAAGGCCTATCGCATGCTTACCTTCATTGGAAGGGGCATTGAGTGTAAGGATAGGCAAATTATGCTGCAGCTTTATAGAACTATAATTAAGCCACACTTGGAATATTGCGAACGGTTCTGGTCACCACACTACTAGAAGGATGTGGATGCCTGGAAGAGGGTACAGAAAAGATTTACTGGATATCGCCTGGTATGGGGGATTTTAGCTATGTAGAAAGGTTGGATAGGCTGGGATTATTTTCACTAGAACACAGGAGGTTGAGGGGTGACCTGCTAGAAGTTTATAAGATTGTGAATGGCATGGATAGAGTGGAAATTATGAGGCTTTTTCCCAGAATGGAGGGGTGAATTACTAGGACACAGGTTCAAGGTGCAGGGAGGGGGGAAAGTTTGAAAGAGATTTGCGTGGCAAGGTTTTCACACAAAGGGTGATGAGTGCCTGGAACACGCTAGCAGAGGAGGCGGTGGGAGCAGACACAACAGCAGCATTCAAAAAACAGCTGGACAAACACATGAATAGGAAGGGAATAGAGGGATACGGATTCTGTATGTGAAGACAGTTTTAGAATGGAAAGGCAAAATTTGTCAGCACAGGCTTGGAGGGCTGAAGGGCCTGTTCCTGTGCTGTATTGTTCTTTGTTCTTCTTTGTTTGTATTCTACCAATGTCCTCTGGATACATGCACAGATTTCCCCTTTGATCCCTAATAATCCCTATTCTTTCTGTTTATTCTCTTCCCTTGATATACTTGTAGAATATCTTCACCCTCATCTTGCCCACCAGTGTTTCTTTATGATTCCTCTTTGCTCTCCTAATTGTTTTCTTAAGTTTCCCCCTGCACATACTATACTCCACTAGGGCCTTCATTGATTTGCTCCCTTTGTAACTCGTATACACCTTTTTTTTTCCATTTTTATCCAGTTCTGAATATTTCTAGACATCCAGAGTTCTCTGGGCTTGTTGCTCTTACATTTCACCCCAAAGAGAACATGTTGGGCCTGTACTCTCCCCATTTACATTTTGAATGTCCCCCACTTCTCTGTTCCAGGTCTACTTTGGCCAGATCCTGTCTTATTTTAATAAAGTCTGTCTTTCTCCAATCCAAAACTCTCTTTTGCAGACCATCTTTTTCCTTTTCCATAATAAACTTAAAGCATCAGTAAAATGTTCTCCCACTGCCACCTCAAACACCTGCCTGACTTCGCTCTTCAGAATTAGGTCCAGCACTATACCGTTCCTTGTCAGACCTTCTACATTTTGATATAAAAAGCTCTCCTGAATACGTTTCAAGAAATCTGCTCTCTAAACGCTTTAAATTATGATCACCCCAAATAATGTTAGGTAAGTTAAATTCTCTAATAAAGTTATCCTTTTATTGTTTTTTCATGCCGAAGTGTATTGTCAATATATATGCTCCTCAGTTCCCCAGACTATTTGGGGGCTTATAATATACTTTTAACAGTATGACTTTTTATTCCTAACATCTTCCCACAAAGTCCTCCCATTTGAGGAATTTTCTAAGGTATTGTCCCCTCTTACTGCAGTAACTGACTCCGTAACTAATAATGCGACACCACCTCCTCTTTTACATGCTCCCCTG